ATGACACTGGTCAAGTCTTTTCTATTTCCCTGCCCTGCCTCTTAAGGTTGGTGGAAGAAGGCCTCCCCCTGTAGGAAGCGTGTGTGCTGTGCCACAAAGCCACTGAGTAAATCTGCCACAGCCTTCTCTATATGTGGGTGTGGGCTGTTGGGTGGTTCCTGGCCTACAGCCCTACTGCCTATTGTCCCCCCTCTCTCGGTTTTGGTCCTGGGGGCATGGTGGATACTGAAACTCCCTCAAGCTATTTATGCTTCTGTCTCTGCCCAGGTGTTTCTTACATTGCCCCCCATCTCAACAACCTCTACTTCCTCTCCCTCTGCCGCCGCTGCGGGGTTTACACTGTGGTTCGAGGACTGTTCTTTCTGAAGCTGGCTCTCAGCATTGTCATGCTCCTGGCAGGACCTGATCAGGTGTATCTGCTCTGCATCTTCATCGCCAGGTAGGCACTCAGCACTCACCTACGCTGCCCTCTGCCACCTGGGAAGGGAAATTATTAATTTCTGTTTTACGGAGAGGTGTGGAAAGCAGGGAGCAGTAGCTAGGATCACACAGAAGCTACTGTGTCCCAGCTCTGACTGCACCTGAGCCTGGGATGAGCCACTGCAGAATCCACTGGCTGTGCCTGCAGCAGAGCAAGGGAGGCAGTGATGTTCAGGAGGATAGAGACCTGGCAGGGCTGGTGACAGCCTGCAGCAGCCTCTTCTAGCTGCTGAGCTGAGCTCACCGCCTCCTCTGCAGCTTGCCAGTGGCTACAGCCCTCAGTATGTGCTGCAGCTGCCTGTTAGCCACTGGTCCAGCACGTCCTGTCCCAGGCTTGTCTGTGTGGTAGGTCAGGACTGATCCAAGGCATCATAGTAGGTTACACAAAGCTTGTTGCCAGCAGTGTTTCCCTCTCATAGCCAGGGCTTCTGGAAATTTAAAAGCGTTGGGGAACCTTGCTCCATTGTTCTCGCCATTTTCTCTGATCTCTCGCCTGCTAATGTGATTTTTTTTTTTTATGCCCCTCTTTGGTGCTTTGCTTGTTCTGCAGCAACCGGGTGTTCACAGAAGGGACCTGTAAGTTGCTGAACTTGGTGGTCACTGACTTGGTGGATGAGGATCTAGTCCTGAACCGTCGGAAGCAGGCGGCCTCAGCGCTGCTCTTTGGGATGGTGGCTCTGGTCACCAAGCCGGGCCAGACCTTCGCCCCTCTGATCGGCACCTGGCTGCTCTGTGCATACACAGGTAAGGATGTTGCAGTGGGGCAGGAGAGGGCAGGCCTGTGACTTCAGTGTCCTCCACCATGTCCTGTGCCCTGCGTGTGTGCAGAGAGCTCTTTCAGTTGCTAAGGTGTGCCTGGTGTCTGCATCTCCAAGGCCAGTCGCTCAGAGAGAGTGGACAAGGGTTCATCCCCACTGTCCCCAGTCTCACCAGCTCTTCTCTGACTCCAGGCTATGACATCTTCCAGCGCAACCCGTTGAGCAACGTGGTGAGTGCCCAGCCGAAGCTGGAGTCTGCTGCAGCCTTGGAGCCAACTCTTCGTCAGGGCTGCTTTTACCTCCTTGTCATTGTACCCATCACATGTGCACTGCTGCAGCTCCTCAGCTGGTCACAGTTCAGCTTGCACGGGAAGCGTCTGCAGATGGTGAAGGCTCAGCGCCAAAGCCTGACACAAGGCCGAGCACCAGAGATCAAAACGATCTAGGGGTGCCTGAGCCAGCAGAGTGCTGCTGGTTCCAGGCTGGTGCAGGACAGCAGGCAAGGTGCAGGGATTGTGGGCTGAGAAACCCCAATGTTTACAGTTCAACTGTGAATTGCTGTAATGCCAATGTTTACTTACTCCAGAAAGTGGTCGCTAAGGGAGGCAGATAAATTCATCACGTGAGGGGGCCTGGGATAGATCACTTGGCTGCAGGAGCAAGAATGTTTTATCCTAGCCTGTCCCAGGCAGCAGAGGGCTGCTCATCCCAGCAGTGAGGTGCTGGAGACAGCCACACCCCCAGTGCAGTCCTCTACCCTGGGCATGGCCCTGGGGAGCCACAGCCTCTCTGGCTGAGCAGGAGGGGGCCACACAGGGAGTCTTTCCTTGCTAGGGCCCTGCGGCTTTGGGGAGTGGAACAGGTAGCTTCTGAGGAATAGTAACCAAGGGAGTGATTACAAGACAGCAGGAGCAGGCATAGGCAGATCCATAATACCTTTCCCAGTAGCTGGTACAACCCCTCCCACATATATACGCTGTGGTTCTTGGACCAAATCTGTTCTTAGGCATTTCTTGTTCCCAGAACAATATCCTGCACAGCCAGGGTCTGCCAGCTGTGTTTGTTATATAGTGAGGTGCTCTCCTCCATGGTCTTTGCAGAGAGAGCTGTTGCAGGGTTGGAAAAGACACTAGGCTTGAACTAGGACATCTCATCTGGCATCCTGTTGCCTGTGTTTAACCCTTCTCTCCCCTCCACAGCCCCTCTCAGTCAGCACTGTCAGACAGACCAGTGTGCCCTGAGTCCCCTCCCATGCGGGCTGGGGCTGTTGGGCGGAGGTCGGGGAACCTACCCCTAACCCTGCAGATGGAAGTGCCTCCCTGCCCAGCACCATTCCTGGTGTCCCAGTGAGGCAGCCTGGTGCCTTCCGCTCTTGCAGTGGGAGAGGACAGCCTGGAGGAGACACCAGGTCTTGCTTTTGTGCCTTCAATTCCTCTTTGAAGCCTGTCCAACACAATGCTGGGCAGTCACAGGGTTGAGATTTTACCTTTGTGGGGAGAGACAGGGTATCTCAGCTCCCCTCTGCTTGAAATGGTGCTCCAGAGTTTGATCATCTCATCTGGCTGCCAAGCCACTGACTGAAGGAGTAGAGCAGGTGGTTTGGTCTTGCTGGTTCTGGCTGGGAGCAAATGAGGCAAGTGGTCCCCAAATGGATCCCTGAGGTGAGAGAGAGTCTCCTCAGTCCCTGCAACGTGTCTGGGGACAGGTAGAAGAGATGTGCCAAAGCAGAGCTCTCTCCTGTGTGGCCCTGCAGGAAGAGGGGGTGTGCAGGCAGCATTTGGTGGCTGCTGGGTGCTTAGGGACACGCCATTCTTTTAGTGCCAGGTTACCCCTGGGGTCTCAGCCCACTAACCTGCCCTTTTGCCTCAGGACACGGCTGCCTTCTGTCTTGGACCAAGACATTCCTGCCACAAGGCTTGATGATTCAATCATGAGTTACTTGTGCAACTTCTAACAAAGTTTGAGAATAATTCTTCATTTCAGAAATTAAATATGGTCTTTTCTGTAGTGCTCAGTGATTTTTTGGTGGGTGGCTCTAACCTGGCTGGGTTCATGTGGTACTGCAGGGGCACAGCTGTGGTTGTGTGGGAGAAAAGGGGACACTTCTCTGGCACAGCTATGTGCTGGGGCTGGACCCTGTTTCTGCAGTAGGCTGAGAGATCAGCTGCCTTTTGGGGAGGAAGCCAGTCACTTACCCTGCTGCTTTGGAGTGCCCTAGGGACTGGGCTGTCCTGTTCCTTCACCAGCTGCTGCTAGGGACAAGGTTGGGGACAGTTGCTGGCCTGGGTGCTGTGCCACCTCCCCACGTCCCCCAGCCTGCCCTGGAAGCAAAGCTTGCCCTGTTCTTAGCAATCACCTGGGCTGGCACCAGCTCTTCATAATGACAGTGGCATCGCTTCCATCAGCCTTGTTCAGCCAGGGCTGCCCTCATCGCTTCTCTGTGCCTCAACTGCCCTTGACCTGTCTCTGCTGAGAAACAATGTGTGGTGGTTGCTGAGAAGAGCAGTGTTGGACACCACCAGGACAGCCCACAGCTGCTCCTCCTTCAGCTCAAAAGCCAGATCAGGAGTGTATTCCTGGGCCAGAGATGGCTTCTCCTTGCACAGACTGGCCAGCAACAATTCTGTGCAGGTAAGAGAATAACACTCCTTAAAAATGTGGGAAGATGAGGCCAGGAGGCTTGAGGGTTGTACATTAATTACTTTATTTAAGTATGCTGGGCACCACCAGGCAACATGGTTTGGACAGTGTGCAAGGGAACAGTCAGGCAGATCAAACAAATGCTAGATTGGAGCTGGCACCTTTCTGTCCAGTCTCTGTGGGTTACAAAATGGAGCACTGCTGCTTCTGCCAGGCCAGAGGGGCTGGGAAGGGAGGAAGAGGTCACTGGCACTGCCTGGGGCATGTTAGCTTCTTTTCCCTCTGAATGCTGCAGCAGACCAGCAAGAATGCAACTGATTTTCCAGCAGAAGACTGGAAAATTGACAGATTTTTTCTACCTGACAGGTTCTTGCTTAAACGGTCTGCTCTGATGGGGGTAGGTGAACAAGCAGCCTGGCCTTAGCAGGGAAGAGAGCACCACAGCTGCCTGCCTGCAGCCTTGGCAAGCCTAGCAGTGAGCCCTGGGAGCGTGGCTTCTGCAGGGGCAGCATGCTGCACCCTGCTGCTGCGTACATCCATCTCAGCTGGGGCAACACACAAGTTTTTTTGAGCCCTCTGCAGCTGGGCTGCTGCAGCCCTCCAGCTGTCACCTTGTGCTTGAGAGTGACCCCAAGGTGCTGCGTGGCAATGCACAGAAAGGAACAGGGAGAAACTGCCACCAAACACCAGCTCCACTGCTACTGCCAAGTACTGCAAAGAATGCACAGTGGAAAAAAAAAAAAAAGAGAGCACCAAATAATGTGTAAGAAAAGCCTACTGAGGAAACAGCGACACACACCCCTAGGCCAGCAGGGCTGTGGAGCTGCCTATGGCTGTGAAGGCAGCAGAAGCAGCACGGCCAGCAGGTGAGCAGGAAGGCAAGCACAGAGCAGCAGAGCACAGCCATCCTGACAATGCTCTGCTCACAAACCTGCTCACACCAACATCCTCGTACAGTTTATTGTCCTCTCACATGGTGTATTCATAGAGAACAGCAAGACTCAGAGCAGTCACTGGTGGTGGTGCAGGGCTGGCTGTGACGCGAAGCGTGTGTGCTGTAAACAGTGTTAACGTCAGACAATGGACAGCTGGGTGACATGTTCAAAGAAGACCCAAAGCGTGATTCCCAGGTGCTGTGGTCAGTATTTGAGATATCCTCAGACATTTCAATAAGTAAAACAATTCTTACATTACAATGCACCTTTCCTGTTATTATGTTGTCCCAGAATGGATAAAGTACACAGGAGTTATGCCTGGCTGAAAAGAACATGCTCCCTTTGCCGTGACGTGGCAGGAAGGAGGGAAAACAGCCTCTTACAGAGAAAGAACATGAGAACTCGGCACTGTAAATCTCAGCAGGTTGAGGGGGAAGACACATGTGCCTTCACCCCACTGTGGGCCTTTCACTTCCAAAGGAGAAAAGGTATTTAAAATAAGGTACAAGAGAATAACCGTCTAGTACAATGATAGCTGATTAATTTGCTTTGTTCTACTCCATGCAATACAAACTAAGACCTATCACCAACTTCTCCAGCTGCGGTGCAGACCCACGCATCAGGCTAAGAAGTTACACATACATACACGCACTCACACCAAAAACAGTGGGGGCAAATGGGCTTAACTGTTGAGAATGTGTTTTCTCTTAATAAAAAAATGTTAAAAACAACTTCAAAAACCTACTGATGGTGAAGACACTGCTGAAGAAGAAAGTAGCAATGGGGCCTCAGCTATGTGTTTCCAGACAATCCAGGCATTGCCTGCATGAGCAGTCTGCAGTGGTTGGCTCCCTTCTGGCCTGCCAGGCAGTTTCTACAAGCTTTTGTTTTTGCTTGTTTGTTTTACAGTGACACATGTGATTGCAATACAGAAATTAAATTAAGGGACTGAAATGAAAAAAGGAATGGGCCATTCTGGAGAAATTCAGACTTGTATATTTCTCCTTTCCATTTAAAAAAAAATATATATCCAAAACAAACCCAACAAAAATAAAATAAAAAAAAAAAATAAGGTTAGTAGTACTAATACAACCCTCCTGCTGCTGTCGTCTTTGCTCAGTGACTCGGGGCATGCTGGCGCACACACACACACACAGGCAGCTCTCAGACACTCAGAAAAGCGAGTTTAGAACTGAAGTGAGTCTTCGGAGGAGGCCGAGGACAGGTCCCAGGGCTAGAAGGCTTGTCGCTGGATGGCACGGGCTCCATCTTCTTCATACTCCTTTTTCGAAACCCACATTTTCTTAAAGCTGTCTAGTGAGGCCAGAATTGAGCCACTGGGGAGAGACAGGCAGGTTATGGGTTAAAGGAAAGCATTGGGGACACCCTCATAGCTCCGTGGAGATGAGCACTTTCTACTGCACACTTCCACACTTCAGGAAAGTGCTCAGGCTCCCAGTTATTTACAACAGAAGCTCTCACTGGACAGTCACTTCCACTCCTCTTGGCCTGAAACATGCTGGCACCACAGCACCTGGCACAAGCCACCCCTGCCAACCAACCAGCTGATGCTGCACCAAATACCAGCCCTCTTCCCACAGGATCTGGTCTCATGTTCTAGGATTATAGAGCAGAGTTTAGTTGTCATCTTCAGCAAAGACATAGGCAAGATGGAGAACGTCCCTAGAGCCTCTGCCCTAAGGAATGTGGTACCTATGAGCTTGTTCTACCTTAGACTGGACACTAAGATTGGCAAGACAAAGAAAATGAACAGGTCCTGCAGGAGCCTTAAGGACCAAGGAGGCTGGCAGTGCAGATGGAATGAGCTCAGTAACCACACTAAGCATCACACAGCTGAGCAATGGAACCCTCCCAACACACAGCACCAGAAGGGACATCAGTGAGTGCCAAGAGATTGCACCTCCCTGGGCCTCATCCCACACCAAGACATGTCACAGTGCAGTACATACCCGATCCATGTGGAATACAATCTCTCCTGAGGAGCTGATATCTGTGAGGAGGAGAGTATCAGTCAGTAGCTTCTCAAGCTTTTCTGTTCCCCCCAGCACACTGTCCCCATGTCACTGCAGCTGACAGGTGACAGACACAGGTATGTTCTCTCCCACTAGAAAGACACCCAGCAGCACTCCCCAAAACAGCTGCTGTGGTCCAGGATCTTGGATGGGGGTCATGTTGTTAGAGGAGCTACCTTCTCAGCCATGAAAAGTAAACCTTCTTAGGGAAGTTTAGACTAGATATTAGTAATAATTTTTTCATTGAAGGAATAGTCAGGCACTGGAATGGGCTGCCCAGGGAGGTGGTAGAGTCACCATACCTGCAGGTATTAAAAAAATGTATAGATGGCATTTCAGGGCATGCTGTAGTGGGCATGCTGAGTGATGTGGTGTTGTTTTTTTGGTAAGGGGGTTTCATCTGAGGTTTTTTTGTTTGTTTGTTTTTTTCTCCTAGGTGGACAGTCGGACTCTGTGATCTCAGAGGTCTTTTCCAACTATAATGATTCTGTGAAGCCAAACAGGTTTTAATTACACCAACAAACACTGTTGGGCTGTCTCCAGAAAGTAATTTCTGACTGGAAGCAAATGGAAGCTGCACTCTCAGCAAGGTTCTTGCAAGGGGGCAAAGGCCACAGAATAACACTCACAATAAGCGATAAACACAGGATATTGTTCCTACCCTTATTTTCACGTCCTTCGGAGCTAGTTTCTTCACTTCGCTCAGCAGCCTGTCACCAAAGCCTACAGAGGACAGAAAATAGGTAATCTGAGCTCCTCAGCAAAATCCCAAGTTCCATCTTCTAACAATGTGGACATGTCCTGTGCAGTCCTATTCAAGTATTCCACTCCAGATCTCACAGAGGGACCAGTTTGGAGAGGCCCAGAACAGAGCCAGTGAGATAAGGGGATTTTGTCTCACTTGGATAGACCTCAGACACTGGCACAATAGGCTCTATCCCCCAGCAGCAACTTGAGATAAGCAAACAAGATTTTTAGCTAGGATTACAGGTGGGCCAGTCCAGTTCATTTGTACAGGGGAGCAGGTTTGAATTGCTGATGCTGCACCAATTACCAGCCCTCTTCCCACAGGATCTGGTCTCACTTTCTAGTATTATGGAGCATAGTTTACTACAAACCTGAAGAAACCTCAGGAGATGCCTTTTAGGTATCCAGTCTCAAATACCCTGAACTACAGCTATTAATTCCTGACACAGGTAGTGACAGGAGGAAAACAGTAAAAGCCATTTGAGGCTAGGAAGTGATGTACAAAAGGGCAGATATGTCTTGCACACCCAGAAGGGCATGACGAGGACTTAGAAAACTAGACAGTGACCCACCCTGAGAAAGCTGAGTTCCCACAGCCCTCACCCCACAGGACAAGTTAGGTGATCTAGGTTATCTTCTCAGTTTCACATGAGAAGGAACCAAGTGATCAGGTATTTCACAGCCCACTGAAAGAGGAGAGGCAGGAACCTTTGAAAAGCGTGGAGCCTCCAGACAGCACAATGTTGGAGAACAGCGTTCGCCTCAGGTCCATGTCTGATTTTTGAATGGAAAAAACAAGCACCTCGTGGAGTCCTTCACATTCCTCCCCTATCAGGTCTGGCCGGAACAGGAGTTCTGGGGCTCGAAAACGGGCAGGGCCGATCTGCAAGGGGAGAAGTTAGCACAGAGGGGAAGAGAGAGCAGTCTGGCTCTGTTCAGTGTCTACAGTTTGGACCTGACCTTCTTAGGTGAAATTTCAGAGTAGCAAAGTTTCCTGGACATTCATGCTGCACCACTAGCTCTAACATGACTGCCAGTTTGGTCTACTGCTCCTTTTGAAGAGTATTCCTAACTCACTCTTCAAAGCAATTGTTTCTACACCTCTAGGCAGGACAAAAGCCACCTACAAAACCACTGCTGAATTTGCAGCAAGCTGACAACTACCCACACTCCCTTCCTGATCTGCAGAAAGATTTGCTAGATGGCAGCCTGCACTCAAACAGCTCAGCGTCCCCATGGTCATGCTGCATCCTTGCCCAAGACTTCCAGCAGAAGTGGTGAAGTTTCTAGTATTTTCTTCCCTTAAAAATTATAGTGCCTAGTCAACAAGCTGGGATGAGTTCTGGTCTTCTAAAACTATACCCTCCCACCTGACACAATGCATTAAATGTCCCACCACTAGGCAGAAGGCTACTTTGGAAACCCAGTGCCTCACATCAGAAATCCTCTGACAGGGGTCCTTACAAACCTCAATAGTGCTTCCATCTGGCAGGTAGTACTGAGCCTTCTCAGTCTCCAGAGTTTCATCCTTCTGGGGGTTTATTGGCAGGTAGCAGGCACGCTGCAGAGGAAACAGAGTCAGGGAGAGAGAGATGAGGAGGGTAAACCCAAATGCCTCCGATAAAATACTTTTCTCACTAACAATCAAAATCTGTGTATCCCTTTCAGGAAACCATTTCAACAATTGTGGTCCTGGAGAAAAGACCTTTTGGGTTCACATCAGGTAAAATACCTATTCATGCTACAGCTCCATGTGATGATTAGAGACATGAAGCATGCTCACGTCCACTCTAGCTGCTGCTCACCTCTTGGTTCCAGCCCTCTTCCTGCTTAGAAGTTACCTCCCTCTAGTGCAGATGGGAAAACTATTCTGTGTTTCCAACTTACTGTAAGGCAAGGTGAAACACACACCTGGAACACCTTTAGTGGCATTAACCCTGTATAAAGGTGGGCCCAGGTAACTTTGCAACACATCACAAGTGTGAAGAAGTCCATTATTACATTTCAACAGGGCAAATGATAACTAACAGTAAGAGATTCTTAACATGATCTAAGCTGCTTACTTCCCAATGCCCATCTGCTTTGTACGTTACAAGAAACAAAATACTTTGACCTTTCAAACTGCTTCAATATCCCTTTTTTTCCACAGTGAGTTTTGCTAGTCTAAATTGTTATAATTTGGGGATTTTAAAAAAACAACAACATCTAAACAGAATCACTGAAACATTCAGGTTGGAAGGGACCTCTTGACATCATCTAGTCCAACACCCTTGCTCAGGCCGGGTCAGCTAGAGCAGGCCACACAAAACCATGCCCCGTCACCTGTGGAGAACCTACAGACCTCTCTGGGCAACCTACTAGTGTTTGACTGCCCTCACTGTACACCAAAAAGCAGAACACTCCTTGCAGGGAAGCAGGTATAACTAAGAGTTCCCCTTTTAAGGCTTGCAGACTTTTCAACATCTACACATTTCTTTCCTAATTTTTTCCTGTTTAAAAAAAAAAAGGCAAGATTGAGTCAGACAAGACTCCAACAGACCACAATCAGCTTTTGTGACTGAGAAACTCCCATATTCAGGATCTCAGCTTTGCGCTTGCCACAGTGCATTTAGACTGCATATTCAAGCTTCTCTTGAGGCAAAAAAAAGCTGCAAACATAAGATGCCACACTCAACCCCTCAGGTTTGCAAATTAAGTCACAAATGGCACCAGCATCAACAGAACTGTCACTGTGAGTTCCAGGCACGCATATCCTAGAAATCTGCAACACTTTTCCCAGCTAAAATTATCCTTGAAGCAAAAAGGTGTAGCTTGAAGAGCAAACATCAGGTTGTTTCCTCTCTTCAACAGCCTCACTGGTGAGGGTAGTCAGCATGCAAAGCAGGACTTGGCTCACTTTCTCCTGTGGTTTGTTTCCCTAAGAGCATAGTCCAGAGAAATGATTGCACTGGTGCAAGACTTTGCACTCAACATCAGCACATCTTTTAATAGCTTCATCATCCAAGATGCACAGGGAGCTTTAACCATTTTTGAAAAGTACAAGTGCATTTCTGAAGAGTACAAGCCTCTTCTTTGTCCCATAAGGCAACTGCAACTGCACTGCAACTGATGCTTGGTACAAAACAGGATTCTTCTGAAGCAAAAAGTTCTCCAGCAAGCCTTTAATCACTAGATCTTCTAGTCCACAAATGCTGCAGTATCTTCACAGATCTTTTTTTTTTTTCCTCCCATTCAGCAATCAACAACACATGTAGGACAAAGAGCAGCTACCAGCCTAAAACCTACAACCCTGCAAAGTCTCCTGCTACGGGCAACAGGCGAAGGCCACTGAGCTGTACCATGAAATGAAGCACAAGCACTGCTCCCTCCACAGAGCCACACCAAGCCAAAGCCATGCAGAACTAGCAAACTATGTCCATTATGGTCCTTTGCTGGTAGGTCACAGGCTCAAGAATAGGTCAGTAACACCTTCACGCCCTGGTCACCCTCACAGTAAAAAAGTTAATGTTCAGACAGAACCTCCTGTGTTTCAGTTTGTGTGTCTTGTCCTGTCTCTGGACATCATTTAAATGAGCCTGGTTTGTTCACTTTTAACCCAGCCTTCAGACTTTTATATATATTGCTGAGATCTACCTCAACCTTCTCTCAGCTCAACAGTTCCAGCTCTCTCAGGCTTTCTTGATATGAGAAATGCTCCAGTCCTTTAATCATCTTAGTGGCCCTAGTCTCTCTCAGGTAGACAAAGGAATGAAGCACAGAGCCAGGCAGGTTGACACTTCCCACTAGATTTAACAAGTCACAGCTCCCATTGGGTAGAAATACCTTCTTGGATAAACACAGAAACAGACAGTACATCACCTCCTTGATGGTCTTGACAATCTCAAACTCGGAGGTTGTGTGGAAGTCATAGCCTTCCTTCCGGAGATAGAGGCGCAGGAAGCGCGAGACGTCACGGCCGGCAATGTCGATCCGCATGATGGAGTGAGGCATGGCAAAGCCTTCATAGATGGGAACTGCATGGGTCACACCATCCCCAGAGTCCAGCACCACTCCCGTAGTCCTCCCAGTCGCGTAGCTAGCAAAGGGGCAAACAATCAGGTCAGAACGAGCAACTCCAAGTGACCTCAAACATGCAGCATATCCAGGCTTAATTCCCGGAGCAGAGATTTCATGTGAACAGGGACTCAAAAACCCCCAAACCTAGTTCTCATCACAGTTCAGCAAATTCCTGTAAAATCTTTATGGCAGAAATTAAAATTGAGCTTCAGTTCTTGCTTGAAAAGGGGCAAGTCAAACATCGGAGTGGTCTTCCAAAGGGTTTTTTTGCTGGTTTGTGAAACAATGGATTTCATGGCAACATTTCAGAAGTGCAAATCAAAGAGGAAAGACACTTACAGGCTAAGCACAGCTTGCATGGAGACAAATAGTGCTGGCACATTGAAGGTCTCAAAAAACACCTCAGCAGCACGCTCTCTGTTCTTCCGTGGGTTTAGGGGTGCTTCTGTCAGCAGCACAGGATGCTGGTAAAGGAAAGAAGCAGCTGTGCTGTAGTAACCAGGAGGCACCTAGACACACATTCCTGAAATTTTTTGCCTATTTATTCACTTTAGGAACCACTGATGCAAGAGGACAGGTAGAAGGGAACAATTTGAACTACTGAGCTGTATTAGGCTGTGAATAATCTCTACTAAGTTGGAAGAACAGTAGGGTTCTGGTCTAGTTTTGAAGAAGTGTTAGGAAATCTACTCTATGAGGAACCCTGCCCTGTGAGGGAAGATGACTCAGTGCCAAAAATCAGCCAGATCACCCAAAATACACATTCCCTAAGAAAGTGTGAAGGCATATGATCTTAGCATGAGCAGGCAGAAATATTCCTACTCCACCTACACAACCTATTGCTCTCAGTCATTTAATAATTTTTGGTCAGCTCCTTCCAGACCACAGGATTGTGGTTTTCTCCTTCATCACTTCAAACCATGTAACTGCTGAGCGGATATGCCTGATATGCAGGCAGAACAGGAAAATGTAGAAGCGCTTGGCCTAAAGCAGAATCGTTAGAGGGAGTGTGAATAACAAATGCTGAAAGTCAGATTTCAGTCAGGGCAAAACATCAGACCTGGGGAGGAATTACACTTGGACACTTCTCGTACAGTATCTCCAGAAAGGGGAAAGAGCCTAGTTTAACAACAGACACATTTAGAAAGAAGAGCAATGGAAGAGTCCCAAACCTTTACTGGACTTCAAAGTCTCCTGGTGTTACCCAGATATTGAATTATGCCTGTGTGGTTAAAAAATGAGGTCTCTCACCTCCTCTGAGAACGTCTGAAGCTGGTCTTTTGAATACACATACTGCCAAATGCGCTCCATGTCGTTCCAGTCCCTCACTATGCCATGTTCCATGGGGTATCGGATTGAGAGGAGACCTCTGTGCTCCTGAGCAAACAGAAATGACAGCAGAGCATGTCAGAGACTTGAAACAATTACATTCCTGAGCACTACAACTATGATTTCATGTCAGACTCATTTTTTATTCCACTAAAAGACAACTATCTCTAGCACACAAGGCAAAAACTGAACATTCATAACAAATGCTCTCCCAGAGAAGAATTCATGAGATTAAACAAGACCTTTTTACACCAAGTCAGAAAGTCTGGTGCTTGCAGAGCATGTTCCATCCTAACAGTTTCCAAGCTAACATACAGACACCTATCAAATGGTATCTTTGTTCTAACAGCTCAGTCATGACATACAACAGGGTAGTACTGGAAAATGTAGTTCAGAGGGCTCATGAGACCACACAACCACATGCTGACAAAAAGCAGGACTGTGGAAAGCAAACTTCTTGCCCACACCAGGGAGATAAAAAACAACCAAGTGGATCCATTTCTAAAGTTCCCAGTCATGCAGATGGGGATCTAACCATATAGACCTAGAAGTAGCCCAGAAAAGAAGGTGAGATATAGAAGGACTTAGGAAAAAGGTCTGTGGTCAGCAGGCTGGCACAAGAATTTAACTTAAAAGTGCCCACCTATTCTGCTCTTCACATCTGTATGCTGATACCAAGGATCCACAGCCCTAAAAGGCACAACTGCTACAGCCCCTCCTTACAGAAACATACCAAGAAATAAGGATAAGTGCAGTATACAGGTTTTCTTACCTCTGCCTTTGGACCAATGAAAATGTCCCCTTCTAAAGCACCAGCCATAACACGAATGTGCTTTGGTCTGCCCACACTAGAACAGAGGCAAGAGTATGAATGCTTCAAGAGAGAGAGCTCAGATGCACCCATGGATTAACTACTTTGTGTTCCTCTCTGCCCTAACCAGTACTTTCTAAAGCAATGGGCAAGCCTGGGGGCACTATCAGGTGCAGACAGATCCAGGTTTGCTCTAAGCTAATCTCAGAGTCAGAGGTGAAGGGAACAGATTCTGGACAGTTCTGAATTGGCAGGACATAAGCCAGCTGAGTCTGGCCATACTTCCCTCAATGATTCAGGGCTTATTTGTTCCAACAGTGCCTGGGGTGAACATGGCTAAACTGACCAATGGTCTGAGCTGATAGATCTGCACAGTGTTGCCTGGCCACAGGTAGGCTTCTCAAATTAGACATTTACAGTCCATACCCCACCTCACCATATAAAACACATTGCTCAGAACACAAATATACTCATGAAAACCCCACCCTATTGACAATGAAAGCCAGTGACTATTTAGAGTTCCTGATCCAGCAGTCCTTCCAGTAAAATTGTTCAGAAAACTTCCAAGGAAGTCTGGCAGGAACCAAGACATGAGATCAAACACCAAAAAAATATACAGGTCTTCAACACCTCTCATCCCAACTTTGTATTTTTGCTAGTTCGTTTCCTAATGTCTCAATATTAAAGGATCCTACAGCTGTGGTTGGGTGTAGAACTTGACAAAGTGATAAGTAATAATTGATGGTTCCTTCCCAGAAAAATCTCAGAGTGCTTAACAGCAGAGATCCCCTCTCCCTGATGCTTCCGTGGAGCTGGCAGAAAAAGACTAACTCATTTCTCCCATTACGACGTTGGACCCTTCTTCCCCTCTACATATCAAAGAATTGGTACACACTACTAAGAACTTACCAAGACCAGCTGAATACTTACTAGTTTGGAAAGCAGTATTTTGGTATCTGATCGCCTGCAAAACCTGCCTTAATGACACCCGAGCCCTGTGGGAAAAACATACAAATACATGAGCTTATAATTCATCCAGTCATCTTCACAGGTTTTAAACGAGTAGCAAAGTACATCAGCAGTGCCAGACCCTTTCCTTTTTACTAGGAATAAAGCTACCCAGGGATTGATTCTCCAGGTCGGGTCAGGTATGGGAAGGTGCCATCAGGCCAGCTTGGCCACTAGAGGGGAGTAACTGACACCTCGCTGGCAGCCACACACCACAGGCACCCGGCAGCGTCCCGGTACTGCTCCACAAACACACCCAAACGCTGCTTTGTACCGACAAGTATTTTTCTACTCAATGCAGGGGGTTAAATCCCACCTCTACAGTTTTCTGTATTTCTAAAATAGCCTTTGGGTGGAGGAGAGCACTCCAGAAAGCCAAGAAATAGCGACTGAACCCTGCTAGCTTCAGGGGCCACTGGAGGATGAAGGCTGTAGGAAAGAAAAGGAAACAATTTGGAGAGAAGACTAGGGAAAAGAAGATCAAGTGTTGGATAAACTAGCTAACTCTAAGTAGGCAAGTCACAATAAACCGGTCAGAAGAGACCAGCAATTAATTCAGACTGGGGTCTGGAAGGGCTGGAGGCAGAAAGTGCAGAAAGGGTACCCATAATAACTGTGCAAAATGGGGGTGCTGCTGAAGCAAGACATCTGAAACAGACCACTGAATTGTGGTAGATGGAGATTTCATACAGTGACTTGAGGAGTTACCCAGAGTGCAAAAGTTCATCATTATACGAGATTGCAACTAGCCAGACATTTGTTAAGATGGTCTTACAGGCATTTGGAATAATTCAGGAATAGCTTTGATATAGCAGACATAAAAAGCAAGCAGAAGAGTGTCTGAAAAGATAAGAGCTTATTTAAAAGAGACAAGGAGAGATTAAGTATGGCAATCATAAAAGCATAAAATTCCAAGAAGCCTCCTGCAACACTCCAAGCAGCACAAGCAGCAAACACAAGAGTAGGTAAAACCAGCCAGAGGGAAGCCCTGACACAGAGTCAGGTCTGGGCATCTGGCCCGCAGCTCCTGTCCGCATTAGTATCATCTTGGGAACCCCATCATCAACTTGGCTCTGTGCTGACTCCTTCCCCTCCTCCATTTCCTCTCCCTGCACAAGAGAATGACATCTTGAAACAATGAGCAGCTTGCAGGAACACCCAAGTTTGCTAAGGAACAGATTTTCATAGGATCTCCTTGGATAAACTGGTTCACTGTTAATCCTAGACTACTGCACCAGAGCATTTTAAAATAGGTGGCAATGCAGTTTCTCCACTGCTTTCCTCTTTCCACCATCCCTCCCTGGGTCAGCATCACTGCTTTCTCTTGGAGACCATGGCCAAATGAGTTGCTCTGCCAGACAAGCTCTGGCTGCAGCTGTTTCCAGTGGTGCTGTCCCAGCTGCCTGCCCCTTTCTGGTGCCAGAAGTTACCAGCCAGAGCAGGCTCAGCAGAAAGGAATGCAGAGCAGCCCCAGCCTCTCCAGTTCTCAGTCCAGCACCTTATTTCCTAACTACTTTTTCATCTGCAGTTTCAGTGGAGGTGCATGCACTCTGCCACCAGGGCTGGGGCACTCCCACCTTAAAACCCCCAGAGTCAGATTTGCCAAGATCCATCTCTAAGACATGAGCATCAGGAAGACTCTGCAAAACAGACCTAGCAAGTTGTAACAGATTGTTCAAATCCTGGTCTCCTGACAGGAGCCAGGCTGGCTCAAGGAGAACGCCCAAGCTGGCAACTGGGCAGGTCTACTCCCTCTGGGAAGGAGGACTTTGCTCCAGTTGCATCTCAAAGCCTGCACTAACAGGTAATGGTGTGACAAAGTGGCCTGTGAAGTGTTAAAGAGATTTCCCTTTAGACAGACCCAGTCTGGTTATTAATTTCAAAGTGAAGCAAGGAATAAACAAAATATACTATTTTGATTTTCCTTATCATAGCTTATAAACAACTCTATACCTGGGAAATAATACCATCCTTTGTTGAGTCTGGTTGAGAAAAAAAAGTTGAATCAAACACAGTAACATAACCACATCAGAATATTCTGCTTATTTAATATTTTATTCAAGATAATGACTGATCTTACTGCCAGCACAGCCTGCTGCTGGGAAGTGGTTTCAGGAGAGCAACAATGCTCTCTTAATACAGAGATTGAAATTTCCTAACACCAGGCCAAAAGTTACCCAGCATGTCCTGGTGAGATTCTATTTCAAGTTTAACATATTGAAGTTCAAAGTTAATCAAATGTGCTGGTAGTTCAGAACTCCTGGCTGGAGCCAAAGACTGATGACTGTTTTGAACATACCGGTAGGACAGGACTTGACACAGTTGAGCTTCCAAGTGCCTGGGCACAGCTGTTTGCCATCTCCACACTACAGAGACCTGACAGCACCTTCTGACCTACTCAACTTTTTTTGGATTTTTTTTTATTTCTTTGAAGATCTGTACACTGAGTTAATCTATTTATTATAGACCAGTTTGAGGCTCCTATCCAATGAGAAGAAAAGGTTTAAATTTTGAAATAACCCTGGCTGAATCATACGGTTTAAAGACCTGTTTTTTCACCTTTGTTTCAAATAAGGAAAAAACCTGCAGCCTCCCTTCTGCTAAAAGGTCTGATTTATTAAAACTTAAAAGAATTTAAAAATCAACATTCTTCCTCCAGTAACTATCCTGGCTGGGCTCTCATCCTACTTTGCTTGTTTGTTTTTTGTTTGTTTTTGTTTTTAATCTGAGCAAAAGAATAAAAGAAGGTCAAGGAAGATAATCTCATGGAAAATTCTCATGAGTACCTTGAAGTAACTGAACACAAGTCTTCCACTGGCTCTGCAGCTACTCAGTTATTGATTCATTCATCCTGATGCATTTAGGACTCCAATTTAAATGGAAATCACCAAGAGCTTCAATCTACCTTGTAGCACTTTTTATAGAGAACATACTTTTCATCTTTTTGTAAAACTATTTTATTAGACACACATTTTACAAGATCAAGAACAAACCAGACATGACAACCCTTACTGACAGCTCAGCTGTTTAAAATGCCACCACTTAAGACTACAAAGCCAAATTTTATCCTCTTTGACATAAACAGAGACAATTCCATGGAGCTGAAGTGATTTGCACTTGCTTAAGCCACGGCTAAATCACGATGCTGTCTGTTTACTTGTGCATTAATCATATCGTTACATCCCAGATAATTTATTTCAGAGACCACTTGTTGGAGTGCAAGATGGAAACACAATTCTTTTTAAAATTACTTCTTGGACAGTGAGGAGTATTAAGATTGCACTGAGGTACAGCTCTAACCTCTCACTGGATATTACAAAGCTCTCCCTGCTGAATACATGAAGCTGAGGGTATTGTTTGAGAAGAGAGAAAACCTCCTTGTTGAGTTTTAAGCTGCATCTTAATGCCCTTTTGGAACACACTGAGATACTAGAGCAGGGCTGGTTCAGGGAGGGTCTGGCTTGTTCACCAGCTCAAGTTCTCACTCCCCATAGGCACACATACACATGACAGGTTAACATTCAGGCTTGAAAAGCTGCCTGCAGCTCTCTGAGGAAAAGCAGTAATGAGGTAGCAGGAACAGCAGGACCTGCTCCATGCAGCTCTGCCTCCCATCCTGCCTGAACCCAGAAGAGCACCAAAAATGCAGTGTCACCACAAGGCTTCTCAGCTGACCGCCTGCCAGTGTTGAAGGCAGATGTCACGACAACTGCTTCATTCTACTTCTTGTCCGGGGAGGAGAAGGGAGGGAACTAATTTATCAGAGTCAAGAAGAAGAATTAGCTTTTATAAGATCAGCTGATACTATGAGAAAAGAAAGATAGTCAGTTGCTGGCACATAAGCCTTTCTTCAGGTCTGAAGCAGCGGCAGCAATCATTGCACCACATAACAACAGGACACAATGGAATTGGATACACTGGATATATGACTATAGCACAACAGAGTCATCATCACAGCACCCGAGTGCCTGGAAATAACTTTAACAGTTAGGTCATCACTCCACACCAAAGCAAGGACAGTGCTATTCCAGTCATTCCTGAGACCAATCAACCTAACATTATTTAATGTTTCCAATAAAGAAGATAACATGTTTTTCTCCACATAGTCAATTCTACTGATTAATCTCCCTTTCCATTAGATATTTTTCTTCACTGCTTAACCTAAATCTCTCTGCTGTGATTCCAGGGGAAGAAACAAAACCAAAACTGTACCAGAGAGCTGAAGCTACAGATAGGAAATTCAGATAAATAATAAAGAAGGGGTCAGAAGAAAAATGTGCTTGATCTTGAGAGGATGTACAATTATCCAGCATATGGGAAAAAAAAAAAAAGCAATAGGTTGAGAAGTGCTAGGCTAGCAAGTCCACATGCAATATGTCAAAAAGATTCAGCAGAAAGTAAAATTATGGAGAAAGTAGGGAGCAAAACACTGACCCTTTGAAAGAAACTGAATCACTGGCATTAGAGGTCAGAAGGGAGGAGCATGGATTTGTGACTCACCAAAGGAGGCTCCTCCTGAGATATGCCCTCCCACCCCTTCCTGGTGCTTTCTCTTGGGAGGCCAGCATGGATAATAATCATAATTAGAACTAAACCCAGAAGTATCTCACCAAGACACACAGTCACCCTCATTCATCTCAAACTGACTGATTACCCACCTTCAACCAGAGGCTGAAGCTCTTTTTTGAGCTAATGAGAAGCATTATCAGCTACCAGCAACCACCTGTGACACCACATCCCATTGTCAAACGAAGGCTGATGCAACCCATCCTGGGAGCAGTTCCTCCAGGAGCGACGCCTCCTGCGGGCTTCAGCAGGGGAACGGGCACCTCGATGCCAGCGCTCTCTTACCACAACCACTAGGAGCGGAGCGGAGGAAGGCTGGGACTGAGGGTGGATGTCCTTTTTGCTGGGCCTGCCGGGGCGCGGGGCCGCAGCAGGGGGACCGGAGCAGGGGGACCAGAGCAGGGGGATCGGCTCCATCTGACAGTGGTGCGGGCTGCCCCCCCAACACGCTGGGGGCGCGGCCAAGGCAGGCAGGCCCCCCGCCCGCATTGTCCCCCAGGCACAAAGAGGGGCCGGGCGGGCGCAGAGCCCAC